CGGCGTTATGAGAGCAGGCTTCCTTACAGAGGGTCCTTCGCGTACCACTGCAAACACATACGTCAGCTCTTCTTTTCCTGCACTCCTTCTGTGAGGGACCTTCCCCTGACACGTAAAAATCATACCCTCTTCAGACAAATGGAACGAATTACGGTGACAGAGCCTCCACATTCACAGTAAAGAACAAACAACGTGCAATGGGGCAAACACCTGTGAAATCACAGGCGTACTGACTGTGTGTTCATTCAGCGCTGATGGTTAAGCCACAGAGGTCAATGGCACCAGCTTTACTGCTGGTTAAGGAAGTGCCATCTTGACAAGAAATTGGCAATGGAACACCATGTACTGCAGCTTTTAGAGGCTGAGGTTAGATATTGGCCCTCCACACCCAGTGTCATAATCACGGCTCCAGACAGACAGTCAGTTTTACAAGAGAAAATTAACTCAACTAATAAAATAATTAGCAACACTAGGCACGTACAGGAGGGCCCCACAGAGATAATAGCAGAAGTGTAGGCCTTCCAGCTCATAAACTAAGCATGTCGGGCCAATTATTTGGCATTTTGAGATAATCGGCATCGGTCGATATCTGCACTCCCAAGGCAGATAAACAGAAAACCGTCTTCAGATACATCTACAGGCAGCCCTGTCAGTGTGCCTGCTGTGGAGAGACGCTCCCCCTTGAAAAAGTTGGTTTTGAGCCCTGTACTATAACGCTCATGGTGTAAACTAATGCATGCATTTCCTACAGAAAAGAGTATAGTTACACATGACTTTTCTTTGTTTGGATATGGGCATTCATTAATCCACAGCCCTGCTCTCTAAAAACTGGCACTGGCCGTTAAAAAACCCCATATCGGTTGAGCACTAGTGTTGACCCAGAAAGTTGAACTCTTCCTCAGGAGTTGTGTTTGTGTTTGGAAGCTTACATACCAGCTGAGGCTCATTAAGCCCCCAAGTGTCACAGCAAACCGCAGCAGTGCAATATTTAAACAGGTGATTCACTCTGAAATCATCTCCATGTGCACTCAAATAAGTGCTTTACAGCAGGATGCCTTTCACAAATTCAATAGGAAAAACCTTGAGTTTAAGAATGTGTCCATACCTCTAATATTCTCTCCAAATCATCTGTCGTCAGACAGGGATAGTCCTTAAGTATTTTATTCTTCTGCTTCTCATACTGCTTTGCGGCCAGCTTCCAATTGGGCTCCTCCAGGACTTGAAAAATTGCTGCCCCAATGGACAGGTAAAAAATAATGGCAGAAGTCAACAAGGGGCCTTTATCTACCATACTTATGTACAACGACTCAACTTGGAGAGCGCGGGACGGGGGGAGAAAGAGAGAAAGGAGGGGGTAGATAACAACAATACCCGGAGTTATGCGGGACTCATTCTCAAGTCTTTGGGCTTACAAAACGTTCCTTCGTCCGCGCGAGGGCTCTGAAAAAGGAGTGAACCGTGCAGCTGCAGACAGCATTGGGCTCGCGACACAACAGGGTAAAAGTAATCATAAAGCGGACCAGAGCGCGCGTGGGACCGCAGCCGCAGTAGTATTGTCTCCACGTGCGCAGCCAGAGCAACAGTGGCTGCTAAAGTACCGAGAGCAGGGGAGTGGAGAGGACAGGACCCGCCCAGAAACACGCTGCGAGGTGGGGCACCCGCTCTGCAGCTGTTCGTTTCGCTTTTTATTTACTAGATAGATACTTTATTTATCCCGAAGGAAATTCAAGTACTACAGGTGTACAGCTGCCCAGACACAAAGATCTCAAAAAAACACTAAATTTCAAATGTTTGTATAACTTTTGCCTGTGACAAATGTAATATACTGTATTTTAATTTATTCTCTAATTATTAATACATATGTACTATATTTTAAAATAATACTTTTAGCAGAATAAGAGCCCAGTAGTGTAAGACTACTAGCTTTAATAAAATAACTTAAAGGTCCAGTGTGTAACATTTAGAATGATCTATTGGCAGAAATGGAATATCTTTTTATCTACCGACACCGTGGGTCGCCTTCCATGGAATGTATCCATGGACTGCCTCCATGTTTCTACAGTAGCCCAGAAATGGACCAAACCAAGCATCTGGCTGTAGATATGGGCCTTTTGTGTTTTCGCAAGTTTCTCCCACAAACTTTCACAGTCCTATCTCACTTCCCAGGTACGTCACATTTACTGAGCCAGTGTTCAGTTTATTGCAATTCCATGCAACCACCACTAGATGTCATTAAATCAATCCACACTGGTCCTTTAAAATTCAGGAAAAAGTCATAAACATCAAAATAAGATCTTGCAAAATTCAGAAGAAGAAAAGAATCTAATGACATTTCAAGAATCAAAATATATTTAAATTAACCATAATACATCTTTTTTTTCCTATGAATTCATTCGCCTTAAAGTCATGGTGAAAGTCACTGTGAGATTTTGTAATAATGCTCCAGGATTGTAAATTTGACTCAGATAACATCAAACAAAGGCAAACAACAGACAGTAAAAACAAATGTCATGTATATCAGTGAAATTCACCTCAACCCTAAGAACCCGGTTTGACATGTCGCAGAACAAATCTCTTTTCTTT